TTTTATTACACTTTCACTCACAATGGATTACACTCCACAAGGTGTAATAGCATGGGTCCACAATTAATCAAATATTTATTTTAATAATGCATAACTCATATCCCATAAATAAATAAAGTAATTTTTAAAACTAATTTTGTTATTTTTAAAAAATAAAGTACTAACTTTCGTTAAATTTTGTACATTTTGAATTTTTTTATTTTCTAAAAATGATATTATTAATTTTTAAGTTTGAATAATATATCTTTTTCTATGTTTCAAAAATAATATATTGTTATTTTTTTAAAAATAATTATGTAGGAAATTAAACAAATATTTGATACTTCAAATGCAAAGATATCATAATAATCCATACTTAATTAATAATTCAGAATGTAATTAGTTGAACTCCATAACATAATATTACATAAGTTAAATCAAATAAAAAGGCACAAAGGGCCCACATTCAATAGATTACACGCATCATACAGGTGATGCGTGTAATCTTGGAGCGGTGTAATGGCTCCCCATTACACCCCCATTGGAGCTGCCCTAACAAATCACGATCAAGATTTAGCCAAAAAAAATTATACGGTCCAAATTTCATCTTGTACCTCACTTTTTAACAATATGTGTGGGACTCACAAAATTTTGTTCTAAAAGTACACTTTGTTGAAAGTAAGTTATATCATGTACAAATAGAGTTACGCCATGTGTAAAATGCACATAACATTCAAGAACATTGCACCTGCAACCGTTCCTGCCTAGTTCCTTGCAAGTGGATTACATTGAAATTTACAACCGAGAGCTAGGTCTCTCTGATTTGCCTGTCGTACAAAGTTTACAACCGAGAGCTAGGTCTCTCTGATTTGTCTGTCTCATTGTGTACCATTGTTTTCAGCTGTTGAAAGCGAACCCACTTGGCAGATTTGGTGAATGGTGCAAAGTTAATTAGGGTCTACATCTCTGTACTTGTATAACGTTGCTGTTAAACAAAAATTGAAAAGGAAAGAAGCTAGGTTCTAGCTCATGAGAAGTCAAGAAGAAACAATGGGAAGAAGAAGAAGAAGACCAGCATGAGAAAATACCTGTATAAAGAGCAAAATAAGTAAAAAAAAGGGCCAGCATAAGAAGGGCCTAGGCCAGTGTATTTTATTTGCTGTTTGTTTTTTTATTCTTCCTTGGAATTTTTGGTGCGTTTTGACTTGACAATATGCCATCGCTTCGTTCATTCATTTTCAGAGAAGAAATTAAAGGGTGCAATAATTCGAGAATCTTATGTGACCCTTCAGTTCCAATTTCGTTATTTTGGTTGTTCGCGCTCTCATGACAGCACTTGACTAGACTAAGTGAAGGGTAACCAAAAAAAAAAAGGTAAAAACTATATGGAGGAACTTGCTTAGTGAAAAAGTCAGGCAATTGGCCTAGTGGATGGCGGGGTACGGCTACCAGACTCCCATTGTTGGCTGAGCGAAGGTTTCAAGAAAGTAAAACTCTCTGTGTTGTGCTCTAATTAGGAATGCAATCGACTAGGAATGCAATCGAATCGAGTCGAGTCGAGTTCGAGCATGATGATACTCGATTTTGAGTTTCCTTCTGAATTCAAGTTTTCAAGCAAGTAAAATTACTGGAATTTGAATTCGAGTTCAGTGCATTGCTCACAGAACTCGAGTTCGACTCGCATGGGACTCGAGGTAATGTGAGTCTTATCGATCTCGAGTCAAGAGGATTTGGGGATTTCATTTTTCTTAACAATTTTGAGTAAAAAGACATTATCACCCTTTAAAAATTTTCATATGACCTGAAATATTTTATAAATTTAACTGCTCTTGTGAGTACAAGGGTAATTTCATAATAATATATATATATATTAAAGAAATAAATTTAAAAAACTCGATAAAACTCGACGAGCCTTCGAACCTTATTACTTGATACTCAAACTAGACTTGTTAAGTCTATCAAGCAACTCGAACTCAATCAACTCGAGTTCGAATCGAGTTTTTGATTGATCTAATCACGAGCAACTTGCGAGTAACTTAGTTCGGTTACAACCCTAGCTGTAACTTGTGTTTCGGAACCAACAGCAGAACTAAAAGCACACGCAATGATATGGTGAACAATATATGTAACCGTAGCGCTAGGGATATTCTAGTTGGTTAAGTTTGCTACCTTTTAAGATTCTGGGTTCCCTTAAATCATTTGTCTTTTTCTTTTTTGGAGGGGGGCTTCTCTTAAATCCATCTTGACCTGAATTTAGCAAAGTTTATCACCCAGATTCTTTGGATTCTCTCAACTTGCAATTATTTCTTTTACCCAATTGTTTGGGGGGAGTTTGGTGAGTAGCTGGTGAGGGGCAATTCGAGAAAAATCCTTTGTTTTAATTTTAATGCTAGCAAACGTGGATTGAAAATGATTCTTGAAATTAATTTCTTGACCAAAAAAGGGGGGTTAATTGAAAAATCTTGTGGGCATGAATCATTCCTAATTGCTCAGAGTTGTTTACATAAAATATTCAAAGTTGTTCACCTATATATGAATAATTCAAGAATATTGGAAAAGCACAAGTCAACGAAGTCTCTTCTTAGCCCCCACTTAGCAGCTGGATGCTACTTCCCATTAATTAATCTCTTAATTTGGCTACCGTTGGTTGTTATTATTAAACTCAACCTTGTAATGATGCCATTAAGCACTGTGGCATTGAGTTATTCCCATGGGCCGTGGGGTCTTTGAAATTAAGCAACATTTGTTTGGTTGATTAATCTGTGATGTGCTAGTGGCATATTCCCAGAAGACAATAATGCTAAATCATTTCTTTGAAACAGCATGATACTACTGGCAAAATTGTTTTTCATTTAAGGTATCTAAACAACCTAGAGAACTTGTTTATGCAGCCTTAATCAAGGAATATTTCCAAGACTTCCATTCTTGGACAAAAACCAACAGAATTCTGACCTGGTGCTTGCATAATTTGAAGTACCGTTACCTGGAAATAAAGATTGAACCAATTCCACTTGTCGTATCGACAAGTTTAGGAGAGCGAGTCAATGAGTTGAAGCCTCAGAACGTAGAGGTTTTGAATTCTGATCCCCCTGCCCTTTTCCGTTTCTTAAATCGCACTCCTCTCTTGCTAGAAATGTCGAAATGAATGAAAATCAAGTTTTTCTTTGGGGATTTTATTATGAAAAGTCACAAGGGTAATGTTTTCTCTTTAACATTTTCAGACCCCATACATTCCCTTGAGAAGAGCATAAAGAACTAATAATCATATCCTGGAGTCCCTGACTGTTAATCCAAAGAAGATGCTCAAATATCATACCTAATTGTCGAGTTTACATTCAATTTTTTCACTAGTGGCCTATGAATTAGATCGTCAGATCAAACAACTAGTACCTGGCAGCAAATTTACCTGTCATTCAACAACCATTAATCCTAGAGAATGAAAAACATCAAGACACAAGAGCAATATGAATTGCAACTTGACATTTAATTAATCCAGTTCTGACAGCATCCCTTTGTCATTGAACTCACTACGAGAATTGATATCTTTTCCACTTAGGCCAATAAAGAGACACAATTAGACGCCACAGAAACTCAGGGCCACTCAGAAAAGTGTACAAGATCTGCACATCCTTGTCAAGATCTAGTCATTTACATTTCTTATATAAAGAAAATTGTTGTCTGCACCAGCAAAAATGTTGCGTGAGGATCCCAGCACTGCTAATTTAATCCTGCAGTTGTATGTGACATGATATAATTTAACTTTTAGTATCTAAATTGGTATGTGCTTCAAAGATACCATTCAACTCTTAAAATTTATAGGTATGGTCACTCTGTTAATTGCAGGGGTCACATTTTATAGTCACAATACATAAAAGGGGTTGAAATTAGCAAAACATACATGTTAAGAAAACCAAAAAAAAAGAAAAAGAAAAAGATGTGCAAAGTAGTAGGCTTGGTAGAACTTAGAGGCCATTCAAGTTATTTTCCTATCCTATATATATATATTTTTTTATCTTGCTAAGCGTGAGGTACATAGGCTGTTTCACCTTTCTATATTTGGCAATGCCACACTTGAAAGCAACATAATTGAAAAAGAAGAAAGTGCAGCCATCAACTTCTGCAATGCTTAAACACTAATTCTGTGATTATAATGACAAACCATCTTCCTTAACAATGCTTAAATTGACAAAGTGGTGGTTAGTGCCCCATGTATATGACAATGCTACAGTCTACAGAGATAATTGGAACAAAACCCCCCATCCCACCTGCCATTGCCATTTTTCTTTTGCTTTTTCCTATGATTGCTGCTTGAGAATGATGATGATAGTTTCAGCTCCCAAATTGAGATTCTTTCATAAATCCAAGCAAAAATTAACTTCTTGGTTTCAAAAGAGATCTCCCAAAAAAAAAAAAAAAAGAAATTTAACTTGTTGGTTTCTCCATTTGATTAATCAGAACAACTATTTTGGCCCCCCAAAATCAAAGATGTAATAAACGATGCAGACAATGTGTGGCTCTCGGGTTGTATCAGAGGCCAGCCTAAACAGAGCTGCCCACTACTAAATCTTTTCTTTTCAGCCAAAAGCAAAACAAAGGAAACGCCATGAGGCGTGTCATGTTTTCCAAATCCACCAACAGAGCCACAGATAAACATCTTTCCAAACGGGGACAAAGATGATGCACTTCTTCTTAAATCATTGCCTTATCTCCTAATCAAGTTTCGATCTTTATTATCTTTCATTTCAGGATGGCCTTAATCTCTTATTACCCTTGACCTTCTTGTTTGCAGTTTTTCCTTTAGTGTAAGATTGCGGACAAGCTTAATAACTTAAACAGCACAATTAGGATTCAGCTTGTTATATAAAGTTAGAACTTAGAAGTGTGAAGTTTTTTATTATTGGGCTAGATACCTTCAACCTTCATCTTGTAGGCCCTATTAAGTTTTTGGGGTTATGAGTTGGACTCTTTGCGCCACCTCCTAAGTGGATGTGGCCCATCCATAGTCCGTCCCATATTCACTCCTCTCCAGAAATCTTCCACGTAGACAGTCGGTCGCTAGCTTCTCACTTCAGAGTCTGATGAATCTTTAGCCCCAAAATCTTTAAAGAATAAAACCCCTCTCGCCTTCACTTGTTTTTCTTCTTCTTCTTCTTCTAGAGTGAAAGCTTCAAAATTAGATCTTTTGATCAAAATATATTCTCCAGTTAGGGAAAAAGAAGAGTGAGAAGAATATTTATTGATTGTATAAAGGAAGGAAGGAAGCAAGAAAGATGTCATCTTTGGGAACTTCAAAGGGAGTGTTGGAGATAGCTAAGTTTGCAGTATATGTGAGTGTCCCGATTGGGCTGATGTACTTCTATGCCAACAATACCAAGAATCTCCAAAAATTCATGGGAAATGTATTTGCTTTTTACCCTTTTCCTTTCTTTCTAATGTGGATATCTGCATAATATGATTTATCAGTTTCTTTTAGCTTCATTTTCTGCTTAGTGGTTGGGTTTCTCGAGAGTTTATCGAATTCGACCAAAACCCGTTATTCAAGATTCAATTTTTTTATGTCATCATCATGATATAAAATACCCCTTTATTGAAAATGTGAGACTTAAACAGAAAAAAGAAAAGAAATGTTAGCCAACGCGTCATTTGCTTTGCCCTTTAGAGATATAAGAATTTTTTGACAGTTTCAGAGGATAAATGAAGTAGTAAACTTGAAAGGATTGTATGGGGTTCTGTCTTCATAATCTGGTTTTAGGTGGAGGGCGTTGAGTAAGGATTGCTGGTGAGGAGTTGCGAGTGCATACATCTTCAATTGCTCAATGTGTTTCGCCATTTGAGACCTGATGGCATAATGTGTTTGACTCTTAAAATGAATATCTTGTAAAAGGGTATATATGTGATTGATAAATTTGCATTTTAGATGGAAAAGTCTGGTTTGTTTGGGCATCGTAGTGTTCTTCCCATTTTAAACGATAATGATTGGAGACTAAATGTTTGACCTCAATGAGTAATTAGTAGCTATGAAAGAATAATGGCATCACTGAAATTAAGCTTAAGACAGCCTCATAGAGTGTTGTGATCATTTAGCTGCACAGCGATGTCTTCAGTCGAAGATGAATTAGCCAGTTGAAAACTCATGCTGTGCATGATGAGAATTTCTGGAACTCATGCTGTGCTACTCAGGCCCCTTTTGCATTGATAGTAAGATTTTCTAATTCTCATCCTAATAGTTGAATCAGTATATTTTGTAAAATTAACCTTTTCTCCTGTCTGTATGAAACTTCTAATTTCCTTCTAATTAACTTTTTATCCACATGGTCCCCCATATGTGGTAAATGCAGCTCTTGCTTCTTCCTCAGTTTTGCTAGAATCAAGTTCCTATGTAGTGACAAAACCTTTTTATGTCGTTATGCTTATACATTCAGTGTAGTATTGGCTGGTGGGTGATATTATTGGGTGATACTCCTCTTCCCTTGTTTTTGTTGCCTTCCTTTTGTTCTCTTATTTTTCTTCAATGTGTCCTTCCATTTCAATTGAGTTTGTTACCTGCTTGGCGTTGATTATCTTGTTATAGGCAGTTCGAAGATCATCTTTGTATATTGAATTTGAATGGTATATTCTAAATTTATCTCCTCTTTTTCCTCTCAAAGCGTCAATATGTCGTCTACCCCCCTGAAGCACCACGACCTCCATCACCAGAGGAACTAAGAGAGAGGGCACGGGAGTCGGCGCGGAAGAGAAACAACCAATAAGTTTCTGGTTTTGTAAGTAACAATAATGTAGCTTCCAGTTGTATCTCTCTCTGTCCTGTGTGGCAAACAAATTTAGTCGAATCCTCAGATGTACACCGGAGATGAATGCGCTTGTCATTTCTGATGTTGTGTTGATCTGTTTAACATTCATTTTTACTCCTCTGCTCCCCTACAGAAAAGAAACAGAGTCGAAAAGGTGTTATAAGTTGTCCAAAACTCTCGTTAAGTTGAAGCAACAAATTGCTGCTGGATGTGCAGTAGCCAAAAGTTTTGCGCTTCAATCTGTGTGATATACCTGGCATATGAAATTGAGAAAAGAATGTTGTGGCTATAAACTTGAGATTGTCCAACCAATGCAAGTAGATCAGGAGGAAGGAGGAGCAACTTTAGAGGAGTGGTCACCTCCCTTTATTTTGTGTGGTGAACTCAGTTCGTAATTGAATGTTGAATCAGAAGTCTGGAGGTTAACAGGTGTGCCGTTTTCTTATGTACAGAACACAAGTGCAACCAAATTGTCCAACCCTGAAGCTCCTGGAGTTGGATATACCTCACCATGGTCTATGTAAAAATTCCACTGAAACCGTAATTGTGAGACTGATCTAACAAATACCCAGTCTAAAGAGCAGAAAAAGTTTAATCAAAGTAAAGAATTTTGCATGCTTCTTGTGGTGAGGAAATTTGGTCAACTTGCTTTTCTAACCAAAAGGATTTGAGGATTTTCATTTTGTTTTTTGAGCTGGAATTGAATTACCGGCCCCAGTTACAAATCCGTAATGGCAGGGTAAATAAAGCCGATCAGCTTTTGATATTGGAAAGATTCTTGCGTTCCGCTAAAGTGCATCATATGAATTACGAAGACCGAGATGACCTTTTCTTCTAGACATGATATTTGGTTATCTTTTTCTGTGTATATAAAAGGGAAGGAAGACTTGATGATATATGCAAGAGAATTGCGTTAATGTCATAATGTTGTACAGGAATGGAGATTCCAAGTCAATCGTCAATTCAACTCTGTAGAATTTTTTTTTTCTTGGGAAAATTTTTCAAAATCTGGCTAAACGTTAAAGCTCGAAAAAGAAGGAAGGCAACAAGACAAAGTATTTCTACCCAAAAAAAAGAAGAAGAAGGAGAAAAAAAGACGAAGTACGACAAGAGCAGGCAAAATTTTCAGATACAAACATTACTGTAACTTAATTTTGTCTGATTATCTGGATTATGTGCAAATTTCAGATGCTTTATGCTGCAGTGAAGTCAATCGGGTCAATAAGTGTTACTTCGTAGAAAATGGTTGGAAAGTCACAGACATGTAGCACCGTAGCATTATCATTATTAGTACATAACAAAGAAATTTTCTTAGCATGCATTGACTTGCATTGCAAGAGTCAATGGTTCATCTTATATGCTCCTTAAATAGTAGTTTTTGTGATCACAAATGCCTTTCTAGATAATTGGTCAAGCAACTTGGAGCTGGAGGTAGTTCTCAAAACAAAATTCAGTGGTATCAGGTATGTCTGTTTTTCTCTCATCTGCAGCTTTATTTGCTTGGGATTTCAATGGTGAAAAAGCTTAAGACTTTCCTCTGCTGGTTTCTGTACAAGCAAACAGGTGGCATAGTCCATGATAAGCTTATCAATTCTTCTTACATGGTCTTGTTTTGAATTATCTCCATCCCTTATCTTCTCCCCACAAAATTTCTACTTTGATTAGCTGGAATGTTCTTTTTTTTGCCATGGTAGTATACTGAATACAAGAGTACTCCTTATCAATCTCTATCCAGGAAGGGAATGTAGTTGGTAAGGGGGTTGATTTAGAATTTCTAGTCCTACTAAGACAATATTATGAGATTAACACATTTTCTTGCTCTCTCTTTTGCCCTTTTGCTTCGAGTTCTGTTTGAGAAGTTTGAGGTGATGAGATGGAATTCTCTTGACCATGAATTTCAGGACACATAAAAGGCATGGTTTAGTTGTTTTCTGTTATTCGTAATCTGCAATCATCATTTATGAAATCCCTTAACTGTGCATTTCCTTGTTTATCATTACTACTTAGCTGGATTAGATGCAATGGGCTGATTAACATATGTTAATCCATAAAAGGATATCTCTGCTGGAGTGTTGGGACATAAAACATGTTAGAGAGTTTGATGCAGTTTGTCAATTTCCAGACCCAACACGGTAGGACTCTGATACACTGCTTATCTCATTTAAGTCGTGCAGAAAGACGGGATTTTGAATTTAGGAGAACATTCAGAAAAAGCGATGGCGGAGCTTGTACCTGTTGGCACCATCTTAGCTGTGCTTAGTAACCAGATTATTAAGACAGCAGTTGCTGCCAAGGAAGTACTTGAGAAGGAGAGTTTCAAGATTCTATCAAAGCATCTTTTTAGCATTCAGGTTGTTTTAGAGGAATTGCAGTCCAAAAAGCTTGATGACTCTCCAGCAACAAGGAAAGCTTTGGAATCTATTGAAAGCGATGTCAAGAAGGCTAATAACTTGGTTGAAAAATACAAAAATAAAGGTCGATTTTATTTGCTGATTAAATGCAGAAACATTGTTAAGGAAGTACAGGATATCACGAGACATATTGGCAAGTCTTTGGCAGCTCTCTCAGTGGCTAATATAGAAGTGTTATCAGGGATGTCGGACCAGGTGAATAGGTTACAAAATGAAATGCAAAGAGCAGAATTGGAGGCTTCTCATTCTCAGAAGCGGGTTGTCGACAAGTTGAATCAAGCTCTTAAGGATCAAATACAAGATCAAGATTTTGCAAATGACATGCTCAAGGAAATTGCAAGGGCTGTTGGAGTGCCAATCGAACCTGCAGAAATAAGTAAGGAGCTAGAAAGCTTTAAAAGAGAAAAAGAAGAGGCTGCTAACAGGAAAGAAATGGCTGAAGTTTTCTTCTTGGAGCAGGTTATCAAGTTGCTATCTCAAGCTGATGCTGCAAGAAATTACGAGGAAGTCAGAAACCAGTATTTTCAAAGGCTTAGAGTGATTGAGTGCTATGACCCGAAAGAACAAGCCATCCAACCATTTAAACCTTTTGTATGTTGTATAACAGGACATGTGATGCTTGATCCTGTCAGCCTCTGCACTGGCACTGCATGTGAGAGAACAGCTCTTGAAGCTTGGTTTAACAGTGGAGAAAAAACTGATCCAGAAACAGGTGAAATTCTTGAAGATTGTTCATATAGGTCAAACCTTCGATTGAGACACAGTCTATCCAAGAGTGGAGAGAGCTAAATTATTGTGTGAAAATCAGATCATGCAACGAAAAATTGCTTTCTGAGGCAGATTCATCAATTAAAGAGGCGCTCAGCTGCATGCAAGAGCTTATTAAAGAGAGTTCAATCAACAAGGATTGGATATCCATTGGAGGACTTACTGAGATTTTGGTCTCTATAATTAGTCCATTGCATGATGATGACGTAAATATTCAGAAAATGAATGCGTTGAATGACATTGTTGAAGGGAATGAAAGAAACAAGGTCAGTTTATTACTTCCCTGGAAAAGGAAGTTAGGATTATCTGCCTGCACCCACCAGCTCTGTTGCTTAGCTGATTTCTGATTTGAGAGTAAACATTGGCTCAGATTAGGCCTCCAAAATGTCAATTTGGCACATCAAAGCGATCAATTTTCAATATCCAGTATCACTAGGCTCAAGTATACCTGAACCTTTCTTTTTCCCTCTAACCTGATAATTAGAATAAAAAAAATGTCCAGACCCAATTGTCTATGTTCGTAATACAATGCTTTCCTAAAGCTTTATTTGCTCAGGTACTGGTATACACGATAGGAATCTTGTTGATTAGCACTATTTTTAGGTTGTGGGTGGATCAGCACTAAATTTTCAGTTTAACTTCCTTTTTCCAGTGGGCATTAGAGTTCCTTCCAATATTGAATTATTTGGACAAAGACAAGCACAGATACATCTCATTTGCTATTTTTATGTGCATCTGAATTCATTGTTTTCTGAATACTGTATCTCCCATCAAACTTCTAGGAAATATTCATTGAGAATCAGGGGTTTTATAATGTCATTCCATACTTAGCATTGGACTCCAGCGTATCAAAGGCTGCAATCAATCTGCTCTATGAGGTTTTGCATGACTCATCAGGGTGGAACACTGCTTATTGCAATGATCTCTCTCAGCAGAAAAATGCAATTACGTTCCTTGTTGAACTTCTTAAAAGCCCAACAAGGGAGGTAGCTGAGAAAGCGGAAGCAATTCTTATGAAGCTCTGTGATGAGGAGGAGAATATACTGAAGGCTGCCGAAGCACATTGGTATAAGCCACTTGTTGACAGAGTTAATGAAGGTTAGCAAGTCAAATGATTATAAAGCCTTTGCTGCCCAATTTATTTTACATGATTGTGAACTGTTACTTCTTAGCATTGGCTCCTCACTTTTGTTTTTTCTAAGAGAAATACACAGCTGAGATTGCTGTTTGTCTGCAATTTGGATAGAGATCCAATTTAACAGCTTCTGTAGATGCACCATTAGGTTCTTAACTTGATAAGTATATGCTGCCAAGGTGTGAGAATTTAGAAGTAGAACATTTTACACAATATTAGTACACTTCTGCTGACATAAAGAGAGAAGTTCTCTTTTCCCTTGTTCATGTCAGTTCCCATTGTCCTCAGTTAAAACTGATAAGAGTGGTTTTCCTTGCCTCTTTCTGGGGATCTATGAGAGTTTAGAAAGTTGTTTGATTATTTGGCTACTTCCCAGGACCAGCATCTTCAAGAATGTCAATTGTGAGAGCACTTCTTAGTCTGGAATTGGATGAAGATCATATAAAGCTTGTTGGTGCAGGAGTGATAAGTCCTCTGCTGGAAATGTTAGCTGAAAGTATGGAAGTAAAAGAGTTGTCATTATCTGCACTTGTTAAATTATCAGGCATACATGAAATCAAAAAGCTTATTGCTGATGCTGGTGGTGTCCGTCTGATATTGGATCTAATGTTCTCTTCTCACTTACGGACAGTTATAATTGCTAAGTGCTCTGAAATCCTTAAAAATCTTTCTTCTGATGGTGATGGAACTAAATTCCTGGTCAATGAAAACGGAATGCAGCTGCAGTTGGAGCCTGTTATCACCAACCTACTGGCTTATCAACAAAATCTTATGATATCAGACATTGTTCGTAGGCCTGCCTTGCATGCACTTCTTCAAATTTGTCAATCAGATGCAGGACTTGTTAAAACAGCAGTTTCAGCTAGTGGTGTTAGTGGTGTTAGTGTCATCCTTCCTCTTCTAGATGACTCAAATCAGGAAATACGGGAAACAGCA